TAGCCTCAGAAACCCTGTACAGGGTCACTATGAGTCGGAACTGACTCCACGGTACTTAACAACAACAACAATGGGCAAAGTATTGAGCAATGCAGAAAAACATCAGAAGATGCTACAGTCACTGTACCAAAAAGGAATGGTCCATGTTCAGCCATTTCAAGAGCTAGCATATGATCAAGAGCCAGTGGTACTGAAGGAAGAAGTCCAAGATGAACTGAAGGCAAAGAACAGGAATTTATGGACTACAAATTGAAATCTTTCAACAAACTGATACAACACCAGAGGCATTCACTCATCTATACTAAGAAATTTGGAAGACAGCTGCCTGAAGACAACTACTGACTCGAAGAGATCCATATTTGTGCCCATTCCAAAGAGAGGTGACCCAATGGAATGCAGAAATTACTGGATAATATCATTAATATTATATCCAAGTAAAGTTTTGCAAAAACTGCTGCAACAGTACATTGGCAGGGAACAGCCAGAGGTTCAAGCCAGATTCTGATGAGGACATGGAATGAGGGATATCATTACTGATGTCAGATGGATCTTGGCTGAGAGCAGACAATACCAGAAAGATGTCTACGTACACTTCATTGACTACGCAAAATTTTCTGACTATGTGGATCACAACAACTATTGACAACATTGTGGAGAACGGGGATTCCAGAGCACTTCATTGTACTCATGAGGAATCTGCACATAGACCAAGAGGCAGTTGTGTGACTAGAACAAGGGAAACATGAATAGTTTAACACTGGGAAAGGTGTATGACAGGGTTGCATCCTATCACCATACTTCTTCAATCTGCATGATGAGCAAATCATCTTAGATGAAGAACGTGGCATCAGGATTGGAGGAAGATTCATTAACAACTTGTGATATGCAGATGACACAACCTTGCTTGCTGAAAGTGAAGAGGACTTAAAACACTTACTGATGAAAATCAAAGACCACAGCCTTTAGTATTCATTGCATCTCAAGGTAGAGAAAACAAAAATCTTCACACTTGAACCAATAAATAATACCATGATAAATGGAGAAAAGATTGAAGTTGTCGAAGACTTCATTTTGCTTAGATCCACCATCAACACTCATGGAAGCAGCAGTCAAGAAATCAAAGGATGTATTGCATTAGGTAAATCTGCTGCACAGGATCTCTTTAAAGTACTCAAGTGCAAAGATGCCAGTTTGAGGATTAAGGTATGCCTGAGCCAGGCCATGGTATTTTCAGTAGCCTCATAGGCTAATGCGTCAGACTGCAAAGTTGTTTGAACTGCAAGGTCAGTGGTTCAAGCTCACCAGCTTCTCCTTGTAATCCCTATACAGGGTCGCTATGGGTCGGGATCGACTCAACAGCACTTAACAACAACAACAACAACATATGCATGTATGTGAATGTTGGACAATGAATAAAGACGGTCATAGAAAAATCGATACATTTGAGTTATGGTGTTGGAGAAGAATAATTAAAAGTACCATGGAATGCCAGAAGAATATAAAAATCTGTGTTAGAGGAAGCATAGCCAGAATGTTCCTTGGAAGCCAGGATGGAGAGACTTCCTTTCTCATACTTAGGACATATTATCAGGAGGAACCATCCTGCTTGGTAAAGCAGAGGGTCAGAGAAGAAGAGGAAGACCCCCCAATGAGAAGGACTGGCATGGTGGCCGTAGCTATGGGGTAAACTGTAACAACAATTGTGATTTGATGCAAGACCGGGCAGTGTTTCATTCTGTTATACATAGGGTTGCTATGAGTCGAGACTGACATCTAACAACAACAAACTCTCAAGAACAGTCTACCCTTAGGACCCCTGGTGTGGAGCTATAGGATAAGAAGTTGACTGCTCGCCACATAGTTGACAATTTAAACCTACCAACCACTCCTTGGAAACCTACACAGGGTCCCTATGAGTCAGAACCAACTGGAGGGTACCTAACAATAACAGCAAGCTCATCTTTGATCCTCTTACTGGTTGATTACATCAAATGGGATCATCACATAACTGCCAAACCATTGAGAATCATGGCCCAGCTAAACTGACCGTATTTTGTTGTTGTTGTTAGGTGCCATCGAGTCAGTACCAACTCATAGCGACCCTAAGCACAACAGAATGAAACACTGCCTAGTCCTGGGCCAACCTCACTATTGTTGCCACGCTTGAGCCCATTGATGCTGCCACTTGGCTAATCCATCTCGTTGGGGGTCTTCCTCTTTTTCTCTGACCCTCCACCTTACCAAACATGATATCCTTCTCTAGCGACTGGTCCCTCCTGACAATATGTCTGAAGTATGAGAGACACATATTTTGGAGGGACACAATTCAATCCATGATAGGTCATATCTTGAACATTCTATTTCCTTTTAACAACAACTTGTTATGAATCTACCCTCTGAGACAGTATCTAAAGTTTTAGGACCTTACTAAGGTGACACATTCAGATATAACTGCTTTTTAGTCTGATTGACTACCACAAGAACAAACCAGTTGTTCACCGGGAAGCCATCAAGGCAAGCAATCAAGTCCCTTCAGGGCAACCTCCCTTCCAAGACTGAAACTCAAAGGGAATACATGAGCAGGCACGTAATCTTGCTTGTGATCACGTTGGTCTAGCGATAAGGGTAAGTGGGGGAAAAGCAGCAATGAAGATGTGGGCAGAGTCCAACCACGTTCAATAGACTCTTGGAGTGAGAACTGGTTGTCCAGCAGTATGGTGAGACCTGGGGACTCCTGAGCCCATGGACAAGGACATAGTCACAGAGGGCTAGAGCAGAGAGTGATGTGGTCAGCTGATATGAAGTGAGGGGAGATGTACAAGAACACCCATACTTGCAGATTTGACTTACCTTCAATGGCTGGATGATCAGAATTTGACTAGAGGAAGAAAGAAGAGGAAAAAAAGTATAACCCACTACAATATGATGAACTTGACCTATACTTATGGATGTAGTAGCTTAAAAGAGGGAGCAAATCTTCATAGCAAAGATCATTCCCATCCCCTCTGTACACAGTGTTGACAGGGATGGGCAACTTAGACATTGGCTTCCTAAAATGGGGGGTGGGGGGTATAAAGGCACGAAGTGAGTAATCTTGCTTGTGATCACGTTGGTCTAGCGATAAGGGTAAGTGGGGGAAAAGCAGCAATGAAGATGTGGGCAGAGTCCAACCACGTTCAATAGACTCTTGGAGTGAGAACTGGTTGTCCAGCAGTATGGTGAGACCTGGGGACTCCTGAGCCCATGGACAAGGACATAGTCACAGAGTTTTCAAGAGGGAGTTTAGTTTTCAAGAGGGAGTTTAGTTTCAGAGGGTGCAGGGGAAGGTAGAATCTCCACTGAGTGAGTTTCAACCTGTCTAGACAGGGCTGGTGAAAGGAGATGGGGATAAGACTCGTGTGGTTCAATGATGAATATTTGTTATCAGGGCTGACTGCGATTGTTGCAAATGTAAAGGTAGAAGTTTTGTAACAAAATGAGGGAAGTGGCTGATCTTGCAGTCCAGGAGCGGAGGACCCTGGGACCATCAAGGGAGAAGAGTGTAGTGTGGGATCCTATCCAGAGAAGCAGCAACACCAGAGATGGAGGCAGAGATGATGAGTGGCTGGGACTCTAGATTCATGGAAGGAGAGGAACTGCGTACTGGTGGCCAGGGGGCAGGCTTGCAGGGTATGCCCTTTGGTTGTTTGAATGGTTATATATTCCTGAGTGCTTCGGTGTACATAAAAAAAAAATAAATAAACCAGAGGGAATGGAAGCAAATACTGTTGAATGATGATGCATGGAGGGGCTTGTAGTCATTGCAATGAAACAAAATACAATAGGATGAATGTAAAGCTGATGTTCTCCCATGTAAATGATCACTCAATTCACAATAAAAACTTAAAAAATGTATATATAACTGCTTTTTATATTTTAAAGTGGCAACATGGAGCAGACAATGCATACATCAAATCTGCCAATTTAGAATTTTAGTCTAGATCGAGTGTTTTGAAATACGTTTCAACTTTATTGAGCAAGTTATATACCAGAGCCAGTTGTATATCATTTAATTTCTCTTGATCGTTGTGAAGTCATTTATCTGTTTGTCTACCTTGATACATTGGTATTGTTGTTGTTAAGTACCACTGACTCGGTTCCAACTCACTGACCCTTTATAGGGTTTCCAAGGAGTGGCTGGTGGGTTTGAACTTGCAACCTTGTGGCTAGCAGTCCAGTGCTTATCCTACAGTGTCACACCAGGAATCCACAGGACCAAAAGTCTGAATCCATGGCTCCCATTCGTAACTACGTCTTGTCATGCACACTAAATCTCCCTGGGCTTTGTATTCACTTAGCTGGGTTTATAGCAAAGCACTGGGATCCCTGATACTTGTTTCTCTTTCTGACTGTTCTCTAGGTCTCCTGACTAACCCTTGAGGGGTCATGACCTGCCAAGCTTTGCTTTGTTGTTGCTAGTGTCGTGGAGTTGACCTTCCCTAATACACATAGTGCAGTCTAGATACACTGTGTCTTTTATAGCCTTGCTTGCAAGCGGCCCTAGAGTTGTTTTTTTAGCTATTTAATGTACACATGTTTTGTTCCCACAACTAGACTGTAAACACTAAGAGGACAGGGACGGTGTCTTTTTCTGTCCCTGTCGAGCCTAGGGCACGGCTGGAGACGCCCAGGGAGTTCATTAAATGTTGTTGACAGTCACCTGACCTTCCTCGGCCCCACCTCAGGCACTCCCCTTTTCCTTGGTGACTCCTTCCACTTCTTCCTCCTCGGGCCTCACCCCTGCCCTCTCCCCTTTACTCCTTTCCTCGTCTTTCCTTTTCCACCTCCGGCTCCGCCTCTCCCTCGTGGATTCTATCCTTGTCCCTCGCAGCATCCTCAGCGTCCCCTAGCGACCATGCAGTCGCTCCTAGCAACCGCATCTCGGCTCCCTGACGACGGAGGCACGTAGGGCCACGTCAGCGCGCCGTGGCCCCGCCCCCGGCGCCCTCTGGCCCCGCCTCCCTGCGCTTCGCTCGCTGCCGCCGCTGCTGCCGCTGCCGCCGCCCGACACTCGCGCACAGCCGTTATGGCGGACCCCGCAGCCCCAGCGCCTGCAGTTCCCGCTCTCGCCCAGGCCCCAGCCCCGGCCTCGGACGCGGCCCCGGCCCCGGACGCGGCCCTCGGCCCGGCCTCAGCCCCCGGCCCGGACTCGGTCTCCGGGCCGTCCTCGGACTCTGGCCCCGAAGCCGGCTCACAGCGCCTGCTGTTCTCGCACGACCTGGTGTCGGGCCGTTACCGCGGCTCGGTGCACTTCGGGCTGGTGCGCCTCATCCACGGCGAGGACTCGGACTCGGAGGGCGAGGAGGAGGGCCGCGGGAGCTCGGGCTGCTCGGAGGCCTGCGGCCCCGGGCACGAGGAGGGCCGCACCAGCCCGCTGCGCCGCGGCTACGTGCGTGTCCAGTGGTACCCGGAGGGCGTCAAGCAGCACGTGAAGGAGACCAAGGTGCGGGCCGGGGTCGGGGGTGGCGCGGGGTGCAGCGGCGGCTAGGCCGGACGGCACGGGGGCGCGGGTACCCGGGGTGCAGCGGCGCCTGAGCCGGGAGACACTGGGGCACGGGCGGGGGTGCCTCGGGGTGCAGGGCGCTGGGGTCCTACTGTCTGGGGGGTGGAGGGAGTAGGAAAGCTTCTTGGCTGGCGTGCGAGACCGGGCCCGGATGATGTGGCTGCGGTGGGCTGAGGGGCTGGGCCGCGCCTCCGCGGAGGGGACGCTCGGTGCATAGTCATTGCACCAGGGCCGGGCCCGGGCGACCAGGAGGGGACTTTACGGAGAGCTGTGCCGTGGCCACGGTCTACAGATGAGATGCGTTCGCGGACAGCCGCGGGGAACTCCTGGTTCAGCATTACACCAGTGCGGCGTTTTGCTGATCCCCAAGGAGCTGCATTGTGCATCCCGCGAGGAAGGCCGGGGCGGGCAGGGAGGGGTGTGAGCACGCCAAAACAAAGCTGGCGGGGCCGATCGCAACCGCAGTACAAACCCCCCGAAGTTCGCCAGAAGACCATCGGCTTTTGCAGTTTTTATTTTGTCTACCTTTACAGCCTTATTTAATGGCTGCAGGCAACTTTGTGAGTAAGCAGCCTTCACAGAGCCAGGGACTCAGAACTTGGGGAGACTGACACTGGGTTGGATGCCTTTGAAGTGCAGTGGGACGAGAGAGAGCAACCAGTTTGGAAACCTGAAGGGTTTTCTTCCAGCACTGGGGAACTATTCAAGCATTCAGATTCCCCTGTGTTGTTGGGGTGAGAATAGTGACCCAAGCAGTTTTAGGGGCTTGGCATCCTAAACTCGGAACCTTGAACCAAGGTTGCTTGGGTGGCTCTGCATAGCTTGTTTTTCCGAGTGTGAACTCCTATCAGCGATTTACACGCAGGGCACACACCCCTTATATCTGACACCCCTTCTTCCTCTCCTCCTTCCCCTTCAAAGCAAAAACAAAAACAAATATTTCTAAGCAGGAATCAGGACTTGGCTGCTGGGATGGTGAGCAGCCTGACTTGGGGGGAGGGGTGGCAGTTTAGGAGTAACTCTGGGTTTCTTACATGCTGGGGCCAGAAGTGACTTGGTGTCAGCAGGGTCTTTTTGTTGCTAATGTACCTGCATCCCACCCACAGACACCAATGTCTGGACCCCACCCTCAGCTTCTCCTCAGAGATGCAGGACACAGAACACTGAAAGTTCATTTACAAAAAGTATTTGGAAAATCAAAGGCTTTTTGCAGCATTGTTGCTGTGGTTTAAATGCCTTCAAGTCTGTAGCAACCCTGAGGTTGAACCACCTACCTTGTGATTCAAACCTACTTTGCAGTCCAGCTCATTAACCCACCACTCCACAGCAGCCTAATGCTTGTTATGCATAACCACTAGTATTGCTATGTCAGGCAGGGGACTATCGCTATACACTGTGTTTGCATATTGGGTGCCTCTCTGTGGGTTTTCAGACAGCCCTTCCCTCCCCCTTCCCCCCATCTTTACTAGTGGATTGTGGGTTTTGGAATTTCAACTCCTTTCTGCGCCTGCTCTCTGTACCATGGCCTCATGTCCTAGGTCCTTGAGCCAGGCAGGCCCATTTCATTTTCAGAAGCTGCCATGTTTGTCATGTTCCTGTCCATTTTGACTTTGGTGATTCACTTTGTTTACAGTTCAGTTTGCTCAGCTCCTCCACTATGTGTAATTACACCAAGTTTGACTTCAAATACCTAGGAGTAGACTAGAAAACCACTGGAATGCACAAGCTTGGGTATGGTTTGGAGGTCATCTTTACCATTATAAAAAACGAAAGGGCATAGGAGTTCCAAGGATGGGCTGGGTTGTACATCCGTTTATGGGTGGCAGAGCCAAGTTCTTTTAGGGCTTGGGAATAGGTTTATTTGGAATTGGGGGTAGGAGAGGGAAGGTGACTCCTATCCTTCTAGAAGTTTGTATTGAATATTCAGCTCTGAGCCACTATGAACTAGAGGGGCAGATGACCTTGGTTAGCTGAATGCTTGCCTCTCCTGCTTTGCTTCTGGCCACTGGCGAGAGTGATCAGGTGGTTTCTGGGATCTTATAGGACTGTGGTTTGGGGAGCTTTCTCTCCTCACTCCCCTCTTCTTAGAAATTTCATGGAGGTAAAGGACTGTCCTGTAAAGGAGACCATTAGGCCCAAGCTGGGCATCTGGATTTTGGCTCCTACGCCATCACTAAGCTGGTGATGAGATTTGAGAACCCAATTATTGATTGAATAATGTTTTGACTTCTTATTATTAAGAGCTGTTGAGTCAGTTGTCACTCATAGTGACTCTGTACAGGGTTTCTTAGAAGCAGCTGGTGGGTTGAACCACTGACCTTGGGGTTAGCAGTCCAGTGCTCATCCTACACTGCTCCACCAGGACTGTCTTGGGAAACTTGTTTTAGGAACTACCACCTTGGGATTTTTCATGGAATTCTTTCTTTAATGCGGAGGATTTAGTAGGTGCTGGAGTACTTCGATAGTTTCCTGTTTGCAGGACAGTGAGTGACAGTTTGATGCCAGTCTCTGTTTCTTTCATGGTTCCTGTGAACAAATCTGCAGCAGGAGATGAGCTGGCCAGCAAATCCTTTCCTGCCCCTGCCACTTTCAAGAAAATGATCAGCAGACACAAAACAAGAAGTTCTTGGAACAGTGGAATCAGTGGTCTGGTTCCCAAGGCTTCCAGCAGTCAAAATGAACTTACCTTAGGACTTGAAGAAACAGTTGGCTAAACTGAAAACCAAAACCCACTGATTACTGAGTCAGCTTCAATTCATAGCGATCCTTTAGGACAGAGTAGAAGTGTCTCATAGGGTTTCTGAGGTTGTAAAACTTTATAAGGCAAACTGTCTCAGCTGTCTCCTTTGGAGGGGCTGGTGGGTTCAAACTACCAACCTGCCAGTTAGCAGTTCAGCACTAAGCCCACTGCACCACCAGGGCTCCTAGCAGTTGGCCTGGGCCTCCACATGCATCTTCCTTTCCTCTTTCTCCTGACCCCTTAGCTTAGTAGCCAGTTTCTCCACTTGAAACTGCACATCTGGCCACGGGTCTCCTGTGCAGATGCTGTGTCTGCCCCATCAATGGCCATCTTTTGAATCAACTTTTGGAATGAAGCCAAATGCAGGCAGCTTCCTCAGCCGTGGTGGCCCTCAGTGGTCCTCTGGGAGGGAGAGTGTGAGGCCTGCTGCCTGCCGCTTCACATTCAGCTTTCCATTTGGAGGTTCCTGTGGATGCCATAGCTTCGGTTTGTTTCTTCCCACATCTCTGCATTGTCTGGAGTTACCACAGCATTCAGGATCTGTCTCACTTGGATTGCCACTCAGTGTCTCTACATTGAAGCCGTGTGTCTGGGCTCCCTGGCTTTTGTGAGGCTGAGTGTGTGCATATGCGTGCGTGTGTGGCATCCCTGATGACAGGTCCCCCAGGGACTGGCTTCTCGGTTTATTTTTGGCTCCTACTCAGGCCAGCATTTCCATGGGGAAGGCTGCTGAGTGAGGTGTGGTATAAGAGCATGCAGCGTCTCCTCAGTTGTCCATGTGCCAGGCATAGGACAGCAGTTGTCTCCAGTGATGTAATAGGAAGACGTTACATAAGGGTAGCCAAGATGCAGGCCTAAGTGCATCTAATTGCCTTCTATTCAGATAGAATCACAGATCTGTAGACACCACTGGCTGTTCCCTCTGCCACCACCCCCTTCCCAACCCCAGAGCCTCTGTGTGGTTTTGCTGCCTGACTCAAGGGTACTTTGGCCAGTTGAGAGCCGAGGTCTTGTCTGAGGGGTGTGTTTGTGTCGCGCGTCTGGCTGGAAGTCAGAACTTGGGTGCTCTTCCCGGCTGCCGCCTATCCTGACCTTGGCCAAGTCACCGCCCTGTTTCTTGATTCTGCAGTAAAATAAGAGGCATGCTTTTCTGGGTCCCGAATACCAGGTGGGGTGGTTCTTGGCTGATGTTCCTGGGAGAGCCAGCCCCTCACTCCTCCCGGAGTGTGCACCTGTGTGTCATGGGATGGTGTGGGTCACACAGTTGTCCTTCTACCAGAGTGGTGCCTCAGTGGGAAAGGGCGCCAGATCAGGGGGCTCCGGGGGTGTCGGATTCCTGGTTGGTCATGTTGTTTGCTTGAGAACGATAGGATTGTAGACTTAGTACACACTTCTTTATTATGCCGCTTCTGTGAAGACTCATGCCCAGAAACACATCTTAAATGTCTTACCTGCTAAAGCCTACCTGGAGGGGCTAGAATGAATGTGTGTGTGTTCCAGAATCCAGAAGACCTCCATTGGACAGGCAATGAGATTGTGAATTACCAGTGTGGTATTGTTTCCACACTGCATTTTGGGTCGTGATAATAAAGAGGAGAGGAACACGCACATATTACACAGTGTGACTGCCTGGACTCCCGGAGTGCTTTATGTGAATTAGTCACTCCACGCTCACAGCGGCTCTGTGAATGAGGGACTGTCATTAGCTCTGTGGCGTCCTCACCTGCAGGAACTGAGCAACAGAGAGGTTAAGTAACTTGCTCACTGTCACACTGCTGATGAGTGGAAGAACCTGACCTACCAATTGAAGTAACTGCATTGTTTATCCTCACCTGGGAATAGTGAAGCGGAGGAGTCACTATAGGTCATTGCTATCGACTGCCCAGATCAAACCAGAGCCACACATCCTGGGCTTGGCGAGAAGCACCTGTAAACCCTGCAAAGTCTTAGTGGAATGGGCTACAGGGGCGAGAGGAAGAAGCAAAGTGCTGGGAGCTGGAGGTGGCCCCTGTGGGCAGGGGCTAACACCTGGATGGGGAGTGATGGGAGAAACACCGTATTTCACTGGTGTGCTCTGATCTTGCTCATCTTTTGTTCCCTGGCCTCAGTCATTCTCAAAGCAACTGTCAGAAACACAAGTAATTTCAAGAGGCCCTTAGATGGCCCCAGAGCACCGACTGAACACACCTCTGTAGTCTGA